GCATGCTATTACCCAGGCTTAAAACGAGTTAACGAGTAACGTAACGCCAAGAACGGCGAGTTCCCAGACGGACAAATTTTAAGCTACGCTGGGAAGGCAAAGAAGGAACCAATAGGGTCTTTTCTCTCCCTACTGTATACTAATGTCCAAAACTGACAATTTTCCTTAAAGCATTAAATATTTTTTTTCTTCCCCCCTCTCCTCTCCCGTCACACTTCATGTTACATCCCCAGGAAGGTGTGCCGTAAAATCTGAGAACGATTGGACGGTCCCCATAATGTATTATTTTACTACCAAAATTATTTTAGAGGATTTTTTTTGTATAGGCTGAATCTAGTCTGATGTATTTCAACAGAGATGTGTAATTTTTATTTTATTTTGTGTAGCTGTCCCTCCCTGTTTTTTTTATTACCATCTGGAAAAAAGTTAAATCACAAGCTTCCTTTTTTTTTTTTTTTGGCATTTGATAATACTTTTTGCTCCCAATTTGTAAAAGTGGTGTGCATTTAGGACTATATTTTTCCCCCCATCTTTAAAAGTGCAGTTTCTGGTGCTGGTCCTATAGGGTTCTCGTCATACATCTGCAATACACTTAACTGCTGTCCCTTTTTAAAGGTTCTCTAGAAAGGAATTAAACCAGGGGTAGACAAACTCCGGCCCTCCAGCCGTGGTGAAACTACAAATCCCATGATGCATCTCTCTCCAGGAGTCGTGGCTGTGAGAATCTTTCAATGCCTCATGGGATTTGTAGTTCCACCACAGCTGGAGGGCCGGAGTTTGGCTACCCATGAATTAAACTCGACTTACAGATGGGTGGTGTCCAGGGACTTACAGCCTTCAGCTGGACTTCAGGCTGAGAACTAAATACTAGGGATGCACCGATACTGTTTTTTCAGTATCGAGCACTGATATTTTTTTTTCGGTACTCGCCGATACCGGAAGTCCCATAAAGGAAGCCAGGCGGCGTGTAACGACTGTGACCAGGTAATGAGGAAACGTGGAGCCGGCTTTCTGGCCAATCAGGGCGGGTAACGACTGTGACCAGGTGATGAGGAAACATGGAGCCAGCTTTCTGGCCAATCGGGGTGGGTAACGACTGTGACCAGGTGATGAGGAAACATGGAGCCGGCTTTCTGGCCAATCAGGAAGTCAGGGGGCGGATAATGACCGTGACAAGGAAACATTGAGATGGCTATCTGGCCAATCCGGAAACCAGGGGGCGGGTAATGACTCCGCGCCCGTCTTTCTGATTTGACCAGGATCCTGAATCAGGAAGCTGGACACGAGTTGGCTTTCCAGCTGATTGGCCAGAAAATTGGCTCCGTGCCAATCAGGAAGCCGGATAACGTGTAATGACTTGCTGCCCGGCTTCCTGATACCGGACATTCCCGGTATCGGGAGCATTTGGGCGAGTATACTTGGTAGCGGCACATCCCTACTAAATACACAGATGAAATGCATACATAGGAGCGGTTTTGCCTCCTGAAGGATTTGTATTTATGGCCATCGTCCCCCATTTCTTCCAGTCTGGGTGCTGCTGTAATGGGGACTGCAAGAGGCTGATACCAAGTCATATTTCGGTGCATTGCAATGAATGATTTATTAATGAATACAAAGCTACCTTATTTGTATCTTTACATCAGCCTGTAGTTCAGCTTTACCTTCCACCACTGCGTGAAGCTTGATCCCTTCTCTGAAATCAGCAGTGCTGTGGGAGACTTGTTTTTAGAGGAGGTGCTACTATAACAGTACTGTCAATAACAGACGTTCTGCTCACTACGGTTGGTTTCAGGAAAGGTATCAGGCTCCACACAGCTCTTAGTAGGAAGTTCAGCCACATAGCTAGGAATCCGAATGAGTCACCCACTGAGTGGTGTTATAGCCCACAAAAGATTCCAGGGCAGGAAAGTGCATTGAATCAAATGGCTGAGCAAAGCTTCCCTCAAGTGGACTCGCATCCCCAGGAAATATTGTCCAGTTCAGGCTGACAGGGCCCTCAAACATGAATACAAGAAGCTCAAAGACTCCTAACATTTAGGAATATGAGCACTTCATTAGCTGAGGATTGTAATGGCTGAAAGTGTTTTTTTCTTTTCTTGAGAACCTTCTAAGTGGGATTTCTTGGCATAACCCATTTCTCTGTGGTTTCTGGTCCATCTGTATAGAAGGTAAAAGGGATCCCATCATCCTGCAGATGTCCATGAGCAGCCTTGTACCATTCACTTGGTGAACTAGAGTACATCAGGCCTAAATGAGTCTTTCAGGACACACGGGAGCTACCATTGTCTTGAATTTGAAGGTCTAACTTCTGAGACTATCAGTCTTAAGCTGGCCATACATTATGCGGATTTCGGCCGGTTCTTCAGGAACCCTTTTGGCCGGCATTCCTCAATCAGCCTGATCGAAGGAGTCAGCAGCCAATGAGCTGGGGGCTGCTGTTGGAATACAAAAGAAGCAGCGGGAGGTTCTTCAATCGATGCTTCTAAGTGTTGATGGAGGAACCTGTTCTAGAACAGTGTATGGCCAACTTCAGGGTCTGGGTTAATAGCTTTTGTTAGCATTGGTGGTGCTTCTCTTTCACCCTACAAGGCTATGTTATTATTATACAGGATTTATATAGCGCCAACAGTTTGCGCAGCTCTTTACAATGTAAGGAAGACATTACAATCACAAGACAAGATGGTAAGGAGGCCCCTTCCTCTGAGGACTTACAATCTAAAAGTTAATGCAGGGCAGAAGCAAGCCAGAAGGTCCCTTGTCAATGAATCGTGAATTATGTCAGGTTGTCTAAACTGATGTCAAAAGCAAGCTTTGGCCATCGACACAGGCCCTTGGCCTTCCTTCACTACTCGGTGGGCCAGTGACGACAAGCATTTACAATATGAGTTGTCTTGACTGACGATATGCACATTCTTGTTCCTGGTCATTGACTTGAAGTGAGGGATGGATAAAGATGACAGCAACGCATACGTACTCATTATGGTACACTTGCCTCATCATAAGAGATGCAGCATCCACGCTTCCACTCTTTACTACTACTGCCTTCCCGTCTTCTGGAGTCTCCTGTACTCTCCATTAGTTGGTCATGGAGGGGTTAACTATGCGTGGCGGTGGAGGAACAGTTTGGAATAGTGTTAGCGAGAAATTGGTTTCGTAGCCAAACAAGCATACAAAGTCTGCGTGGGGCTGGGCAGGACCGCACAGTGAAGATTGGGGAAGCAGGAAGGGCATTAAGGCCAGGCTGCAATGGTGGGGGATCTACTTAAAGCATAGTTAGACAAAAAAGAAACATTTAATATATAAACTTACCAGTCCTATTGGATGTGGTAGTTGAATTAGTTTAAGCTATGTTTTTTTTTTTTTGTTTTTTTTAGTTTCACCCGGTCATCCTGGTGGATAGTACTTCCTGTTCTATGGTGGGCTACGCTCATTCACTTAACTGTATCTATGGCTGAGCCATTGTTGCCACACTGTGTGTTGCTTTCCTTGCTTGGATTACGAACACATCTTCCTCTCCATCACCATTACATTGGGGGCGGGGAAGTAGTTTAAGGAGGAAAGCTTGGAAGGAAGATTGTTGTTTTTTTAGTTTAGTGCCCAGGAAGTGACAAGGACACATCATCTCTGGCAGGATCAACAGTCATTTCATGTAATTGCTAAACATGTTCTTGGCTCTACACCCGTGGTTCTCAATTGGTGGGTCGTGTGTGTGAGAGTGTCTGTGGTTGTGTGTCTGTCAGTGTTTATGAGCGGAAGCAGAGACACCGGCACTCCACATTTGTGGTAGAAAATGTTTTCTACCACGATGCACGTCAATAAATAGACATATTTGGAGTGCCGGTGTCTCTGCTTCAGCTCACGATTGTTATGGCTGCCACCTGTTGACTACCGCAGCACCCAATTCTTAAAGGGATTTACGCGTTCAGAAGTGCGATGGGACCATGGACTGTGAGTGTTTATGAGGGCGCATTCACACTAGTACAGTGTGTTAATCGCACAGTCCCGTATGATTAACGCACCGTACCACGCAATCGCACCAACCACACGTTCTGGTGTGGGAGGTGCATTGTGTTGCCATTCATTTGAACGACACCCCAAACACACCTCCTGCCCACAGTTCGATCGCCTGCACCGGAACGTGCAGGACTGTAATGCCTTGGTTCTCAACTGATCGGTCGCGACCCTGTTTCAGTGGGTCACCACATGCCTTCCACTGCACAAGGAGAGAGGCTGCCCTGCCTCCCTCAACGCAACACTGTCAGTTCCCATGCCAAGCAGCCATTCAAAATATACTTCCCGGGGCAGAGTGTCAGGTTGAGGTGGGATGGGATAGGGCTATGGCCGCAAAGGAGGTCCATCCATACGTGCATTGCTTATGGTACCTCAATGCCGTGCATTCCATTGCAGTGAGACTTGGGTCACGACTTAATGACCAAGGAGCAATGTGGGTCCTGAGGTTACACGGGTTGAGAACCACTGCTGTGATGCTGGGCTTTCCAGTGCGGTGCGACTTGGGTCATGACTTGGTGACCAAGGACAAATGTGGGTCCTGAGGTTACACAGGTTGAGAACCACTGATCTACACCATATTCGTTTTTTGTTATTGAGCCTAGATGAGCAACCTTGCTCAAAGTGAAGTTGTCCTTCCAAGGAAGAATAAACTTGTCGCTGTTGTGCTGATTCACTTGTTTTAGTACTTGAGACACTAGTTGGAATGCCTTATCTGATTTCTTGCTCCAGGTTGATTATGTACTGAAGCAAGCCATTCAGCAAAACAGCTAAGCAAGTCGTATCTTCAGATGACGCAGACTGCACTTGCAGTGGCGTCATAAGGGGGGTGCGCCCCGCACCCGGGTGATACCATTGCAGGGGTGACACCAAAATGACAGTCAGTTTGGTGTCACCCCCTCTAAAAAGTCAGGCACTCGGTCATGGACCGAGAGTCCGACAGTGTCAGGAGA